AAGCCAGACGAAGGCAGGAAGAATATGCAAACTCCACACAGAAACGCCAACTGAGCCGAGGTTCGACCCAGCAACCATCTTGCTGTGAGGCGGCAGCACTACCTACTGCGCCACTGCCACGCCCTGATCTCTGCATTACTATAGCATAAACTTATAATTCTCTTCCCAGTCTGCAGGCATCATCAGCGCAGGAATCGGCCCATCAAGAGCAGGAGAAAGAAGATGTTTTGAAGGAGGTGGGTCCTGAAGAAAGGGAGGCGGGGCCTGATGAGCCAGACCTATCAGCACTGAGTCTGGCTGAGAAGATGGCGTTATTTAATCGATTGTCACAACCTACTGACCAATCAGCAAACGGGCCTCTTCCTGACACACGCCAGCGCAGGGCCAACACCCGCTTTCAGACCCAGCCAATCACTCAGGACGAGGTTGATCAGGTAGGGCCTCCCTCTTTTTTTCCATCTGAACAAGTTCACAAATATGGAGTTTTGTTGTGATTTTTATTGATGCCACCCTTCAAGTTAATATACAGTGGGGAAAATAAGTATTAAATACGTCATTATTTTTCTCAGAAAACATATTTCTAAAGGTGCTGTTGACTTGAAATTTTCCCTGGATGTTGGTTACAACCAAATAAATCCATATATGCAAAGAAAACAAAACTAATTAGTTTACAAATGAAGCTATGTGTAATAAAATGAAATGATGCAGGGAAAAAGTAATGAACACATGAAGAAAGGGAGGTATAGAAAGACAGTGAAAGCCCAGACTGCAGCTGAAATCTCTCTGTATTTAGCGACCCTCTGAGCAACCCTCTGCTCTTCGTCATTCAAATGAATATCAGCTGCTTCAGTCCAACATCTACATTAGCAGGATGATGGAAATAAAACCAGGGTTGACAACTCAGCAAGACAATCATCCAAAACACAGCCAAGAAAACTCTCAAATGCTTTCAGAGAAAGAAAATCAAGCTGTAGAATGGCTCAGCCAATCACCTGATCTCAATCCGATAGAGAATACAAAATAAAGATCAGATTTAATATACGAGACTCACAGAACCATCAAGATTTTTACACTGTTGCATTCTGTGAAAAACTCACACCTGAGCAATTCATGTGACTTCATTCTCCATATGAGAGGGGTCTTTAAGCTGCCATCACCAAAAAAGTCTTTTATATAAAGTACTAATTAAATTTCAGTTCAGTGTGTTCTCCTTGTGTCATTCCATTGTTATTACACATATTTTTCAGTTTTTTTTATGTTTGTATTGTTTGGGTTTTCACCTAAATCTGGTTTAATTCCGTGTCAACAGCTCCTTTAGAAATGTTTTTCCCAGGAACAAACATGATGTGTTCAATACTTATTTTCCCCACTGTACAGTATCTAGTTAAAGGCAAAATTATAAGCCCTCTTGTAAAATTGTAATACTTTTATAAAATATTTTCCAAGTGCTGTTTAATGGAGAGAACATTATAAACACATTTTTTAAACATATTAGTTTAATAATAAATTTCACATAACTGCTTTTTTTTTAAATCTTTGCCATTATCACAATACATAATATTTTACCAGATATTTTGCAGGATACTAGTATTCCTCTTAAAGTGCAATTTGAAGGTGCAACTAGGTTTAAAATGGTTTGTTAACTAGGCAAGTTAGGGTAATTAGGCAAATCATTGAACAACAGTGGTTTGTTCTGTAGACAGTCAGTAAAAATATGTGTTAAGGGGACAAATAATGTTGATCTTCAAACAATTAAGATAATATTAATAACATTAATACTCTGTTTTTATTATATTCAAACAAAAAAATAAGAAAAAACTGTCTCCAGAAGAAAAATACTGTGAAATTTTCCTTGCTCTTTTAAGCATCACTTAAGAAAATAATAATCGAAAAATATCTTATTATATATATATATATTCACATCAATGGAAACTTTTCATTCCACAGAGGATTATTTACAGTGTAAGAATGTTTAGGTTAAAGATAATGAAGATTTGTTGCTTTAATCATAAATGTTTTTCTAAGGCATCACTACAAAAACCCTTTGAATCCTTAGTTTTTAGGAGTGAAGAAAACATGCCCTTCATCTTTAGAAAGAGATGATTTAAGAGATATGAGAACTTGTCTTAGTAAGTATAGTTGACTTTAGAGACCTTGTGCTTTTCACAGGAACTTGCAAAAGACATAGATCCATCCAGTCTCACAGGTCGACCCGCTGTGATTAATGATTCTGTTGGTCCTCAAGGCGAGCAAGTAAGAGAGTCTGTACTGAGGCTTGTGATTGGCTGATCAGGGGGAGCTTTGCCTTGGCAGCAGCTGCTGATTGGTTAATTGCTGGGGCCTCAACAACCTTGCACTTTTCTAGTGGACATGTGTAGTGCTGAGTTGCATTACAATTTATTTGATTTTGCTCCGTTTAATTGATCATCCTAGTTACTACATTCTACTTTTTTTATTTTTTTTTTACATTTTACTCATAAATTAATTATTTAAAGAAACAGTTTACCCAAAAAAATCTGACTGTCATTTATTCAACCTCATCCTATATGGCTTTGTTCTTCTGGAAAACATTTTAAGCAAAGTTTTTATGCACAGCAGAAACTTTAGGAAAACTTAAATAATGCTACAGAATAAGATAAATTAAAAACATTTGTATTTAATATAGACTTGAAGTGAAATTCATATCTTACCTGAATGTAATATTAAATAAATACAAGGCTACTTAAGTGAATTAAGTGGAAGAATACACTTACAGTGCATTTGGAAAGTATTCTTAGAGCTTCACTTTTTCCACATTTGTTTATGTTACAGCCTTATTCCAAAACGGATTAAATTCATTTATTTTCTCAAAATTCTACACACAATACCCCATAATGACAATGTGAAAAAAGATTTTTTTGAAATTGTTGCAAATATATAAAAAATAAGAAACCTGAAAAATCACATGTACATAATTATTCACAGCCTTTGCTCAATACCCGTTGATGCACCTTTGGCAGCAATTACAGCCTCAAGTCTTTTTGAATATGATGCCACAGGCTTGGCACACCTGTCTTTGGGAATTTTTGCCCATTCCTCCTTGCAGTACCTCTCAAGCTCTATCAGGTTGGATGGGAAGCGACGGTATACAGCCATCTTCAGATCTCTCCTGAGATGTTCAATAGGATTTAGGTCTGGGGTCTGGCTGGGCCACTCAAGGACATTCACCGAGTTGTTGTAAAGCCACTACATTGATATTTTGGTGGTGTGCTTTGGGTCATTGTCTTGCTGGAAGATGACCCGTCGCCCCAGTCTGAGGTCAAGAGTACTCTGAAGCAGGTTTACATTCAGGATGTCTCTGTACATTGCTGCATTCATCTTTCCCTCTATCCTGACTAGTCTTTCAGTTCCTGCTGCTGAAAAACATCCCCACAGCATGATGCTGCCACCACCATGCTTCACTGTAGGGATGGTATTAGCCTGGTGATGAGCGGTGCCTGGTTTTCTCCAAACGTAACGCTTGGGATCCACTCCAAAGAGTTTGACTTTAGTCTAATCAGACAAGAGAATTTTGTTTCTTATGGTCTGAAAGTCCTTCAGATGCCTTTTGGTAATTCCAGGCGGGGAGTGGCTTCCGCAAGGTCACTCTACAATAAAGGCCTGATTGGTGGATTGCTGCACAGATGGTTTTCCTTCTGTAAGGTTCTCCTCTCTCCACAAAATAAAGCTGGAGCTCAGACAGAGTGACCATCAGGTTATTGATTACCTTCCTGACTAAGGTCCTTCTCCCCCGATCACTCAGCTTAGAATACTGGCCAGCTCTAGGAAGAGTCTTGGTGGTTCCAAACATCTTCCACTTACGGATGATGGAGGCCACTGTGCTCATTGGAACTTTTAGAGCAGCAGAAATGTTTCTGTAACCTTCCCCAGCTTTGTGCCTCGAGACAATCCTGTCTCAGAGGTCTACAGACAATTCCTTTGTCTTCATGCTTGGTTTGTGCTTTGACATGCACTGTCTACTTTGGGACCTTATATAGGCAGGTGTATGCCTTTTCAAATCCTGTCCAATCAACTAAATTGACCACAGGTGAACAATGAAGCTGCTGAAACATCTCAAGAATGATCAGTGGAAACAGAATGTACCTGAGCTCAATTTAGAGTTCCACGCCAAAGGCTGTGAATACTGATGTACCTGTGATTTTTCAGGTTTTTTATTTTTAATACATTTGCAACAGTTTTAAAAACCCCTTTTTTACATTGTCATTATGGGGTATTGTGTGTAAAAGTTTGAGGAAATAAATGAATTTAATCCATTTTAGAATAAAAAAAAAGTGCAATGAATACATTCCAAATGCACTGTAAGTGTGAAAAGAGTACACTCTGATTACTGTTTCTAAACACAATTAAGTTTTATGGCATGTAACGTAAATTGTCATTTTAAGTTTGTGTGACATCAAACTTTTCAGTGTTTATTTTGCTTGCTCGCATTATTATGCTTAAGGTGAACAATTAATGCCACTTAATATAACAGTTGAAAGTACATCAAAATACTATTAATAATACATTTAATGTAAAATTAAATCAACCAATGAATGAATAAATCAACCAACCAATGAATGGATAAATCAATCAACAAACAATAAATTGTACCACATTTTCCATGCTAGGCAAGTTGCATGGACGGTGCATTTATAAAGCTACACAACAAAATCATTTTGAATTTTCGCACAAAATCTTAGTAGCTCCAAACAAGTGATGACCAGTGTTGGAGAAAGACTTTTGAAAGTAATGCATTACAATATTGAGTTACTCCCCCAAAAAAGATATTAGTTGTGTTACATAGGCTGCAGATCTTGATGGTCAATTCCGATTTTTGTGACTGCATCCGATTTTTTGCTGACCTGCTTACCTCATCTTTTAAAAGTGACTCGTATCTGATCGTCTGCATTTACACAGTACGCGGCAAAGGCGCAATGACCAGGGAAAAAAAAAAAAGCTGATAATTAAAGAGTGCTCTTTTCTCTATTCCTGTATGTAATCTGTACTATAATAAGCTGTTTTATTGTGGTTTATGACAGAAAGGTTCTCATTTGTCCAGCTTCTTTTGCGATGTATGCACTAGTTTTATATTAGTTTATATTGGTTACGTGGCGGACATTGTGCTCTCTCGCTCTCGTTAACATGCTTAAATACCTGTGCTATATGACAATATAAAAGCTGTTTAAGTGCTCATGTTTGAGATTTAAGGTTTGGGACTCTGCTGAAGATGGTTCTGAAATGAAAGTGTCAGACTTGACGTCATTCCCTACGATTTTTAATGACGTGCGACTCGCATTGACAGGTGAAAATCCGATCTACCTGCTTAAACTGCAGACATGAGAACACAGATCCAATTCATATCAGATAAATTTCCACATATGAACAAGGCCTGAATCTGATTTGAGTAAATCGGAATCCATGTGATTTGTTCCTGCTTACACGTACACGGGCCTTATCTGATCTGTGCTACATGGGAGAAAACAATCGGAATTGAGTCACTTGAACAGTGCAGTGTAAATGCAGCCGTAGTTACTTTTTATAGTAAGTAAAGATGAGTTACGGTAATTTTGAGTTACTTTTGCGCAAATTTTTTCTTACCAGGCTGCGGCTTGATCTCTTTCAGAACGTATTTTGTCTTTCTTTCTTTTTTTAATAGAGGAGTTCTAAAATTAACAATGCGCTGTAGAACCTTTATTTACCTTTTAAAAAAATCTCACGTTATATTTTCAAAAAATAATAACTCAACTATTATGGCTGTGTCCGAAACCGCATACTTCCATACTATATAGTACGCCAAAATCAGTATGCGAGCCGAGTAGTGTGTCTGAATTCCTAGAATTCGAAAATCAGTATGCGAGAAGTACCTGGATGACTTACTACTTCCGGCGAGATTCTGGAGTGTGCATCCCATGCATGCTGCGCTATCCTATGATGCCCCGCGAGAGAATTCATGAATGGAAGTAAAGCGACGCAACTGACGCAGGTAGGTCACGTGACCATAACAAAATGGCGGATGTAGTACGTCCGAATTCCATTCATACTTTTCACATTCATACTGTATAGAACGTACTTTTCTAACGGCCGAGTAGTACGGTTAAATTCAAATGCAGTACCTACTGAGTAGTAGGCGGTTTCGGACGCAGCCTATGACTTATTTTTAAAAGTTTTGACTGTTATATTTTTCTTTTGGATATTTAGGGTAGATTTTGGGCCAATAGATTGTTTTGTTTGATTTATTTCTATTGTTTGGACGCCGCCCGTGTCTCATCTCTCTAACTCTCCCATCTATCTGTTCAAACATCTCATGTCCCATTTGTTGTCTAAATTTCAATATATCCTTGTAAATATTTAATGTTTTTCCTATATACATATTTTTGCATTTATTATTATCACTTTCTTTGTAAATAAACTCACTGTAATGCATTTAGTTAGTATTAGTATTTTGTCCCTTACTTGTTGATATTGTGTGTTTGCCTATGTGTTTCACCCTAAATTAATGTTACTCTCCTTCCCCTTGACTTACCATCTTTAAAATTGTAACAAATGCGTTACTTAATACACGTTAGTTACAGTAATGTTATTATGTAACTCTTAATACTTGTAATGCGTTACTCTAAACACCGGTGACGATATAATTTTTGAAAGGTGAACTGTTTAATTAAATAAATACCACTGTGCTTGTAAAGAGAGCAAATCAGCCATCAGACATTTTCTGTTGAAAATGTGTGTGTTTTCTTGTGTTATAAATGGCCAGAACTTGATGATGATGATGATGATGGTGATGTAGAAAAATAGTTTGCTGCATGCCTGAGAAGTTAACCGATGAGACTGATTGCTATGCAAAGCACATCCAATCTCTGCAAGCTGCCTCTGAATCGTGCGTCCTGCATATGACCTCTGACCTCTGAAATGTGAACACCATATAAAACCTCATCCTAAAATGCAATTACTCTCTCTCTCTCCCCCTCCATCTCTCTCCATCTCTCCAGCTGCAAAATGGGAGCATGAAGCTGGAGCCTCTCTCCGCATCACTGGTCCGCTCTGTTACTGCCGTCACCGCCCAGGCCTCTGTTGCCACGCTAGCATCCGCTTCCCCATCAATGACCGCAGATGTTCGCATGGGGATGCCCGTGGCTCCGCCCTCCACTCAAGCCTCACCCAATCAGACGGCACCCGCTCCGCTTCCGGCCTATGAGAGAGGAGTGCGCTACTTCAGTCTTACAGAGAGTGGGGAAAATCCCACACCTGATGTCCAGTCTCCGCCCCCAGCAGAGCCGTTCAGCCAATCGCCACACAGCAAGGGCGGGGCTGCATCAATTCCAGCCAATAATGAAAGTGGGCAGAGGGGAAGAGCGGGGTATTTAGGCAGAGAGGAGAGAGAGGCAGATCTCCCCAGTGCGGCTTCCCCTCCGCACCCGTTCACACACACACCTCCTCATGGCAGGGGGGATGCAGAGCTGAGCGGCCCCAGACACTGGGAGAAAGACGGCACACATAAAGAGGGCTACCTTTCACCAGACGCCCAATATACGGCAAGAGGAGCCAATACAAGAGCCATCGTCTCAGGTAATTGAGGGTGTGTGAACCAAAAAAGAAAAGATTTTGTTTTTAGCGTTCAGCGTGTGTGCAAAATGCAGCCGGCTTGTGATTGGGTTAACTGACATGCTGCTGGAGTCGAATGTGATTAGCATAATTTATCATAAATCAAGCACGCGGCTCTCTTTGTCTGAGCCGCACCAAACTAATGATGCTGAAATGAATCAGGCTGAAGGCGAAGTGGAGCGAGCTTTTGTTTGCGCTCATGGCTGATACTCTCCGCTGGTCTGGAAGCCTGAGGGGTGTGTGTCTGTGTGTGTGAGTGTGTGGGCGAGCTGTTTTATAGTGGAGAGGGAAATGAATGAATGATAGGAGTGGTACACATGCAGGCGCTGATACAGGAAGGAAAAAATACAGGGAGGTTGTTGGGTTCATGTCTAGCACATGTTAAAGGATGGATATGGGGGCTGAATGCGACAGTGGCTTTTTAATGTTTGTGTGGCTGTGAGGGTTTCGACTGCTGGCTGTTCATGTGTGTCGGGTATTGATTGAACACTATTATAAACATTAGAGACTGTGTGGGTGTGTGTGTTTGTGTGTGTGTTTGAGCTGATATGTAATGCAGCTATAGGTTTTTGTTTGTAGTTTTTTTTTTTGGGTGTATCTGGTGCATTGAAGATTGTGGTCACACAGATGTTCTGCTTGATCAGTTTGTTTATTTTGATTGTTTATAATGTAATTCATGCTAGTGTAAGTTCCTTTGGCTTTAGGGTCAATATCATGGATCATGTTGAGTGTGTTATGCAGGTCATAATTTCAACTCCCTACCCATCTAAAGAATCTTTCAGGGACTGTTCACCAAATTTTGATTTCATCAAACTTAAAATGGAACCTCAGTTTTTTTGTGTTAATTCTCAGATCTTTATTCTTTTTATTTTATTAAACTACAAAATAAAGAAATACAAAGTTTTGATGGGAAAAAGAGCTGTGAATTCTGTCACAGATGTAATGTACAGTAAATAATGTCACCTTCCAAATGTTAACCACAATATTTTAATGTACATTTACATTTATTTACATGTATGCATGTATGTGTGTGTGTGTATATATGTATATGTATGTATATATATATATATATATATATATATATATATATATATATATATATATA